TGAGAAAAGGTTAATCATTGAAATTATATTTTTAACTCCGTAGTGCTGAGTGACTTTGAGCAACTTAGCAATGTAAACAACATGGGTCCTGACCAGTGAATTGTTATTATATCTAATCTGCTATCTCAGTGCAGTTTCCAAATGTGAAAGGAGGACGTGATGCAGCTCATTCTGTGCAGCGAACGCTAGCACAGCGCTCTACAGATGCCTCTACCGCTTTCTAAAAAAGGACTAACCACCCTGACCAAACCATCAGTAGTGTAACAAGTAGTAGAATTTTCATGCACGTGTCATCGAAAACATATTTAATATATTCTTGTGTGGTTTAAATGTATAGTCAATTGAAATCTCCATTATGAAAGAAAGGACGGATCTACAGTCCCTCTGGTCCTCCGATTTCAAACACTGCTGCACGTGATCATTTCTATAATGAGTCACCAACAATCAATAAAGGTGATTGTGCTTTTGAATGTCGTGATAACATTTGATTACTTGATTAATTTCAACTAGTGCTCCATATCCTTATGAACAGGAGGTTGATTGGTGATTTTTTAAATTATATATATTGAAAATCTGTGCATGAGTTGACATTTTTCTGTGAACCCTGTGAGAACTTCAATGAAAAGCAACTAGTTCCCCTAATTCAATTCTTGCAGAAAAACAAAATACTTTTGTAATACTTGGGGAGATAAACTAAGTAAAACAATGAAATATGAATACAGGACTTTAGCAATGTTTATAGGAAATGATTGCAATGTGCGGTGTATTATTGGTCGGATGCATTTCCATAACAAGTTGTGCTTGAATTGCTAAGCTCTGGGGGGTCAATGAACACTGTGTTTTTCTGTGCTGTTGGTTTTACTATTAGCATTATTGATTCGTACTTCTTACATCACATTCACTGTTTGTATCTGTGCTCTCGCCCTGCTGAGGTGGAACAGAGTGCCATTATTGAGCACGGCCCCTGGGGTCAGCAGGTTTTAAGGAATTAAGGAAATATGTATGTTTGCCCCCCCCCGTGATGCGTTTAACAATCTCTTTTAATGGTAGAAGGAAGTGGTGTTAAAATGGGAAGTCGGGATCCCAGAGGCCTCCACTACTAAGCAAGATTTAATTACAATTAAGATATGAACTTGCAATGACAGCGACGTATGGAAGAGACAGTATGTGAAAAACATTTCTCATGTTAATTCCAGTGTTCTGTGTGAAAAGTAAAATTGATGAAGAGTTTTGGGGAACGGGGTATTAGCTAGAGATCCATTCAAGATTTTGTATTCGAATGAAAGAATAAATTATAGAAAAAAAGAAGGAAAATTAAAAGGGAGCGCCGAAACGATGAAAGCGTAACCAGAACCCTGATGCTCTGCTTAACCCTGACACTCCCCAGCCTCAAAGTCTGTGTGTGTGTGTGTGTGTGTGTGTAGGAAGTGTTACCCAAAATAATTAGAGTAAAAATAATTATTTGTATTTATTTATAAAATAATTAGAGATGCAGGGTGCTCTCGTTGAAGCATGCACAGCTTGCAGACAAACCCAGGACACATGAAGGCTCAGCTCACATTCAGCAGCCACTTAGCTTAGCACAAAGACCGGGAACGGCTAGCTCGACAAACTAACATCTTCAAACTGATTAGATCTTTTTTTACCCTCTTTGCAACAGGATCTGTGTCCATTGTCGTATTACTTGATTAGTTAACTAGATGTTCAGCTTGCAGCTCATACAACTCTGTTCATCCGTCATGTTGTGAATCTACAGGGAATCATCAGGGAATCTTTAAGCTGGAGGGAAACAGCTCCATGTGTGGTTATCTCACACACAGCAACGGAATATAGCAGATATTAGTTTGTCCACAAGACAGGTCACCTGAAACACCCTGTTAGATCAATGACAGCTGCTTGAGGCACCTCAAACACACACACACACACACACACACACACACACACACACACACACACACACACACACACACACACACACACAAACACACACGGCATGGGCTCAGTCATGGCCCATGCCGTGTGTCAGTCATGGGCTAAGTCCCCCCTGATCAGGGGGGACTTAGAGGCAACCCACCGCTGCAGATCTACGCACGCTCCTGAGCGAGGACCGACCCACGGACGATGGCTACGTGAGACGCAAATAGGGGGATCTTCTTCTTCTGTAATAAGGCTTTTTTGTTGTTGTTCTGTTAAGAATACTGGAATTGCAAGAAGCTGGGTGATAAATGTTTAGTAGAATTAGAGTTGGGCGATATGCCATATAAGTTAATATATTCATATATTAATATCATAATATATAATGTATTCCTATATATAGTAGTAATAGTAGTATAGGAAAACACAAAAGAAAATATAAATGATTACTTTTTCAAAAATAAATGAAGGATGCCTCTTGAAATAAGTGAATGTTGTGCTTAAAAAAGATTTTGAAAACAAGATGCACGTGTTTTTGTGTCAGCCCTATGGCGATGGAGAGGTAATTCCTGGCCGCGTGATGGTAAATGTGCTTCAACATGTTGGATGCGTCTCCACCTCAAACACACCGCGCTGTTCTAATACACAGCTCTCTCTTGCTGCTGCAGCTGACCTGGAACCAGCAGTTGGCTCAACTTTTGTGCAGCAACAGCTTATTTTCTGAAGAAGGCTGCAGTAGACTTGCACCGTCTATCAGGCGGTGACCCCTCTGGTCCTGTAGAAGTCTATGAGAAAATTAGTTTTTGATTGACAGGTTGCCATGACAGCATTGTACACCATAGAACTTTAACCCTTTCACGGCGTGTTTTCACTTGAATGTTAATAGTAAAAATGTCTTGTTCAGCATTCGGCTGCACTTATAGCCCCACCCTCCTGTGTCACTGAGTGTTTGCAAATAAAAAAAAGTCTCAAGGCTCCCCCGTGGCAGTCCACAAACCATCACAAAGACTGGGTCCACTTTTATACAGTCTGTGGTCTGAAGAGAACCCATGTTTATATCCCCGCTGGGGCACCGAGTAATAACCCATTTCGGGAAAATCTATTTCCATTTTTAAATATAAAAAATTAATTTGAATAAATCTATAAAACGTTTTGCCCTATTGTCCTGTCATAAAACATCATGAGTATCGTATATGTTCCCTTCATCTCTGAAGTGTCAAGTAGACGATAGCACTGTGATTAACACTGTACTGCAACCAAACGGGTGGAAAAGAAGTGACAGGAGCAAATATCCTACAGTGTGAGGTCAAAGGCCGATGCTGAACGAGAAGGTAAGAGTGAAAGCAACTTCAAACGGGTTACAGCCCAGAGGTCAAGGTACGATCAGTGGCCCGAGCGGTGCCAGAGAGGATCGCACATCCTTTTACAGGGAGGGTGGGGGGCTGCCCCCTTTAAAAAAAACAAAAAGAAAAGGAAAATAATGAATAAACTCCCATTCCCCCCCCCGTCCCGAGGCTGGCCAGTGAACGCAGGAAGGTAAACATGTCCACTGTGGTGAGCTCAGACCACGCGGATGCCTCGCTCCAGGTAACAGTTGTCCTCCACAGCTCTGCGCCCACCAGCAACATCTCGGCTTTCCACGAGCAGTGCAGAGTCGACCGCGTCTGAACAGATTTCCGCTTCACTGCCAACCCCCCCCCTTCCTCAAGCAAGGACATCCATGGACTTGATGAGGAGGTTGATTCAAATCAGGGTCAACAGTCTGACCTCTACCTACAGTACCTATTATGCCTCCATGCGATGTACCAAGAACCAGATTTCTTTTTTGCATATTGCATTGTAGTGCAAGGCTGTTTTCATGTTCGCAGCCCCAATCTGCAAACTATGTATGTATGTATATGTATGCAGTATGTCTGCTCAGTCAGGAGAGAACATATTGCACTTCACCAATATGGAATTATGTCTTGTGCAGAAACAGAAGATGCAGGAGAAGGATGCACTTGAGACAAGCGTCGTCACTGGCAGAATTAATTGCACAATGACTGTGAAACTGAAAATTTCACAGTGGTTTGGCGCGCTGCACATTTGTGTTCTTAGAGTCCAGCCTGTATGCTGCATAATCCCGTTCCCCTGTAATGCGTAGGAGGACAAGGTGTGGGCTGATGTTCATTACTTTCCTCTCTGCGCGTCAATACTCTTTCTGAGTCTTCCAGTGCTCCCGTGGTGATACTATGTATACCCAAGCTGCCAGATGCAGCACAATACTGTGAATGCCTGTGTGTGTTTGTGTGGCAACGGACACATGATGTGATCAGGATGGCAAAAATGTACAGCCTTATCCGAGACTTTGTCTCTAATGAAATCTCCCCCCCCACTAGTTAACAGTCCCAGTCAGTCTGCCTCCACTTTGAAAGACTTTCCTTTGAGAACCGTCACCAAGTGGCAACACGCTTGTGTAGAACCGTTCCTTCCTCTGCACACACACGTTAAGAAACATGTAAAAGTTTTATTTCGCAACCACCAGTGCGGCAACAAAATAGAACTTAAACGCTGCATGAGCGCACTCAAAGGCTGCAGAGAGGGAGACGGGTCGTGTTGCTTCAAGATTTTTGAAGAAGCACAGGGACACTGGAGGCTGATGTGAGGCTGACGACGGTTGCCGTTCCCCTTATGTTTACCATCATTTCCCTCCACAAACACGAGGTCGGGCTGGAAAAGGCCAGAGAGCCAGTGCCTCCAGCATGCGGGCAGTAGAAGACGGGGAGGGGTGAAAGGAGAACTGGAGATAAGGGAGGGAGTGGGAGAAGGGGGGTTAAGGCAATCGCTGATGAGAGAGAGGGAGAGAGGCTAAGCTGCCTCCAGACAACACGCGGCTCAGAGCAGATCGAGAGTGACGGCTTGCTGATTAGTCAACTCACAGCCCCCCAAGACGAACACACACACACACACACACACACACACTTGCTGTGCGGTTCATAGACCCTGCCATTACCGTTGCATGCATGAAAAAACACATATAAACATGCAAACACGTTTTAAAAAACTGATCGATAATAATAATAATAATAATCGGGGGGTTTAATTACCTTCAGGAGATAGACAGGGATGTTGCTGAAGTCCCCGGGTAGCTTTAGAAGGAAACGGGCTGAAAACTCTCCTGTCTGCAGAAAGAGGAACAGGGGTTTGAACATACATGCTCATACATTGACAAAAAATCTGTTTTGATGTTGAAGAATATATGGAAATGTGCAGGTATAATCACAGTCAAAAACCATAGGGCTGAAATTCCAAATTCTCGCCAAATACAATAGGGAACACATAGGAACTCAACTAGGCTTGTACTGAAAATAACTCCCTGTGAACAGCATCAGCTGGAGTCCTGCTTGTTTGAATTCAAACATCCTACCTGATATGCTCAATGTCCAGCTGTGACATATTGAGCAAAAAAACATGCCACAAGGCAGTTGGGTTTATTATCACTTTCATTTGCTTCCCGCTTCCTTTTATGCCAACATGTTTGTGTTTGAATACACACGATTTGAAATAATGCAATCCCTTCCGAACGACCACAAGTGCCGCTTTCTTTAACAATATGCACATTTATTTCAGACACAAACCAGCTCCAAACCAAATAATGTGCTGGCAACCTACAACGTAGCACACTATTGTGTTTGGACATGTCCATGAGTACCGTGATCGTGTCCTCGGGAACGTGTCCTCACCGAGCCACACGGATCACAACATGATGGAAAAATGATCCGAAAATCATGTGCTTATTAGGAGCGGCCAAAATAAAAAGAACAGAACACATGATTCTGACTCGTCTGACACTAGTTATTTTCTACAAGCAAACGGGAAGTTTTTATTCCATTCTATTTCCTCTGAAATTGTCTTCTGAGGGCTCCATACAAAATGTGCAATCATGTACTATAACTGGATTCTATAAAAAGATGCTTATTGAATAGTCGCACAGTAGAACGAGGACATGTCAATCCTAGCTGCCGTGGTTCCTGACACATGACAAGTATTTATGTTGCAAACCGACACGGCTACAGGAATAGCATGAGAACAGAGCTTCTACAGTGAAACTGTCCCGACGCCTGTCAGCACCAACAGAATGGCTTCAGCGGTCGCCTACCCAGCTGTTCTTGCGCCCGGCATAGATCTCCATGTTGCGGCCGTAGTTGGGATCGTCCAGCAGACTGTCGTACTCGAAGAGCAGCCTGGAGCTCTCGCGCAGACGCTGGCACTGGTAGAGGTGGTATTGCTGCAGAAGCTCCTTCACCAGCTGCAGCAAGCATTCCGGATCCCCAGCGTCCCAGCGGACCAAGTGCTGCGGAGACATGAAGACAAACACGAGACGGGCAACTCATCATCCGGACAACACGGCAGGGTGTCCAATCAACACATGGGTTATTGTGAGAGCCTCGGGAGGCATTTACTCCTTTTTACGTTGTGGCTCGTGGGCAAAAAATCCTCAAAACGGAATGTGGCCTACTTAGGCCTTTTGCATTCACGCTCATTTTACCGAGCAAAACGTGAAAGTATTTGAATGTTTCTTTGCCAAAGAGCTTTATTTCCGCCATTTGTATTAGATGCTATTGATGTGAGACAGGTGAAAAAATTTAGTTTCTTCATTAAACTGCTCACAACAAGGTGTCGACTAACAGGAGTAACCAGGACATGAATACTGATATTAATGTTCTCAATAATTAAAAATGATGATTATCCAAAAGGGATTAAAATCCCCAACAGAGAGAAAAGAAACAAATGTGTTTTTTACTTTAAGCTTTCAAAATGTCACTGACATCCTGATAAAAAAGGACAGTGGAGAGTCACATCCGTAATGTTTTAGCTGATTCTCTTGACCGTAGACGAGTCATTTGTTTCCTGCACGATTGAAAGGAACACAGCACTCAAACATGTCATCTCAATTCAACGGCATACATGATGGTTATGTGACTTTTCCAAAGTCCTGATCAATTTGAACAACATGTGGAAATAGTTGGCAATTCATAAATACTAGTGGTGTGGCAGACAGAACACAAGAGTACTAGGGGGAGTTGGGAAGAACATGGCAGAAGAATAAAAGGATTGTGCTTAGAAGAGAAAGAAAAAAGATGTCACAGTAGCCTAATCCTGACAAGCGGTACTTGGAAAAGGGTTGTACTAAAGGAAGTCCTGTTTCCACGGAGATTTAGAGATTTGAGGAAAAGCACTGAGCCTTTTCTGTCCTCCGCTGCCATTTTGATTAACAGATATAGGGTGCTTTGAGTTGTTTGCAGCATGTGGATGGATATACATTACACACGTGGTGATATCATTTTAAAAAAGCATGTCGAAAAGCTCTACCACGCACACAGACTTCCACACTCTCCACTTCGGGAATCCCCGACAGCACTTGACCGAACAACCGTAGCCTGTAAGCAATATGCAAATTTGAGGGGAAAAAACAGGAAGCAATATGCAAATTTGAGGGAAAAAAACAACAATCAAAAAAAATAATCATATGCACTTGTCACATATGAGTAAGCAGAACCTACGACGAGTAATTCTCTACCGGATTCATTCTACCACACGGAACCTTTTCCACTCTAAGGGGAACCCGTCCATCGAGGCGCGAGGAATAAATCGCATATAATTAATGGGAACAGCACCGTGTAGGAAAAATTATTGCAGGCAACATCTCAGGTCTAATGAAGACGAATGGATGGCCCGGTTCCTGGGTAATGAATGAGAGCTTGATAATGGGGGAGTTCAGCACGCAAATCAAAAGCAAGGCAAAAAACTAAGATTAAATATAATACAACAACATAAAAAAAAGAAAATGTCTTAATGAGTTTGTTCCACTGTTTGGTCTTTGAAATGACTGGGCTTGTTCATTTAAAAGAGAAGCGTCTCTTTTAAATGAGCTCTTTGAAGAACTGGCCTTAGTTTTTCTTTTTTTTAACCCCATATTTTCACAAGAATATGATTTGATTCGCATCAATTTGGGGAAAGATTAAATGTACGGGAAGAAAGATTACGGAGGGGGCGCCCATACTTTTTCGTCTCGCAAGCTACTTTTCAATCGACCAAGTCATGGCGATCTACACCTCCCATCCCCCCACCAAACGGAACAACAACCGTGAGTGCAAAACAAATCGAACAACGAGCCTCTCGTCTGTCAGAAGTAGGGAGCCGTCACAAGCATTCCACACATTCTTGGTCGTTACCTCACTCTGATGACTGATTGGAGTCATCCAGAGTTGGTTTTGAATGAAATTAAATGTCCATTAGCTAGGATCGCTAGTCATTAGCACTACCAAGTTTTTCCCGCGGTCGACCGCGCATGACTTGTGACCCAACGTGATTTTCTTCCAATGGAAGGCAATCTACTGGCACAGCGGACCACCGCTCTGCAGGCTCAAACGGTTGCGACCTGTTGACAGAACTGTGAAGCCGAAGGGAGCGCGTAGCTGCCTTCTCCCCCCCCGCAGCCCTCGGGACAACTGAGCACAGATCAACCCGAGTGATGAGTGGGAGGGAGGATTAGACCGTAACCACTACTAAGCATTACACAGAGGTGTCAAATCGAAGGCGAGACGACTTTGACTTGCATTAGCTCGTCTCCCTGACTCTCTGTCTTTTTGTTCGCCCGTCTTCCTGTCTGGCTGCCCATATTGTACCACTGATGGAGAAAGCCTCCATTGTTTTAGAGAAACGCCCGCCTTGGGGGGAAGGGGAGTGGGGTCTAAACACAGACAGTGACTTCATCGTTCCTAACCAACCGGCGGTTACCAGCAATGTCGGGATTCCCGAAACAAGGGGCCAAACGCAAACAAGGGTAGGCTTTGTCCAAAAGAGGCAGCCAGCGCTGCAGGGCAGGAGCCAGCTGAAAGCGAGGAGGGACTGAAGAAGTGCTGCGTCAGGATTGTGACAGAAAATATCAGCCAGACTCCACAGGAGGAGAATCAAGGAGGAGAGATCTGAAATGGGAGAGTGGGGGTGTGGGGGGGGGGGGGGGGTTGCAGAGCTCAGGCAAGTAGGCCAAGGCCAAAGATAACAGGCTTTGAGACTTTTTCCAGTGGGAGGGAAAGCTACTGTGAGTGTCCTCGCGACGTGGTGAAGCTTTTCATGACTCTTTGCCCCACTCACATGTCCGGATATACAAATAGGCCAAGCCGTCTCCAAGCGCTTTATCTCAACATTTGAAGCCAAATCACATAGTTGACGGCATATTCAACCTTCATTTCTTTATAATGCATGTAACACTAGGCTCAATTTTATTTCTTACAGGGCCTGTAGGAAGGCTATAAAGTCGTTTATTAATATGAAATTTGATTTTCCAGATAATTATTCCTCCGTGGCATTGTGAAGGTTGGTTTATGGCGGTCTTCTTACTTCTTCACAGCACATTTTGTTTGAGCGCCCATTTCGGACAATAACACGACATCAGCGCGGTGGGCTTTCACACCTTTCGTGTACGCTCGAGGTTTGAGAACCGTCTGCAGCACCAATATGAAGAAAAAGGTGAAGGCCCAACACAAACCCAACTTTGGTGAAGCGTACGGTTTTATTACTGGACAAAAGCAACGGCACATACCGGATGCTTTCTGTAAGGTAAAGCATGTGACGTTTTCCTGTGTGTTTGGGAGAGATGGGCAGAAGGAACAGTCCCTCAAGTGTGCACAGTGAAGGTATCCTTTTGGATATATGAAACAACACGATCAGCTCTTGACATTGGCCGATAAAGTGGCCTTGAAAGATCTGCGACAGACAGACAGACCCATGTCAGCGTTGCCATCTCTATCGGGGGAGAAAGACAAAGAGCCCACCACTGGACTGGATTGCATTGTACTGGATTTTGTGACTCGGAGTTAACAAGGTAGCACTGTAAAGCTGCAGAAAACCATTGGTCGAACACAGAGGCAAATATTGTGAAAAGCACTGAACCAAAAGAGCGATGTCCGCGCATGTGTGCAGACATGCGAGTCTGTATACAGACTCTTCGCTGAATTGATTTAATACGCTCTGCTGAAGGCTGTGTGTGCCAAAAGAAATCTGTGTTTTTTATGAATAGAATAAGCTCTGTGGAAAACGTACACATTCGATACATAAAAAACAAAAGACCCAATAGTCGCAATCTAAGCTATTTGAGAGTAAAAATGTTGCGTTTGAAGAAAAGAACTGGAATACATTCCTTCTACATGCCCTCTCGATCCCTCTGTAAGGAAGGAACATCTTTCTTAAGGCTTTATCCACAGGGGGTAGATAACGTAGCTCTCAACAAAAGTCCCCGGTTCAATCTGGACCTTGTAATCCAATTATTTTGACACAACACACTGGTTAAACCTGTGTCAAATGATTAAGCCTAAACTTGGCTTATGATAAAACCTGTCGTGATTCTTAAATCACTGATATTTTCCTTATTTGAAAAGAGCACATATCTGTAAAAGAAGCCACGTATAATCGTATTACCTTTAGATACTATTATTATTATTGATTCAATATCAATGTTAAAAACTGCACCAAAATATTGGATTACCATTTAGCATCTATTCCTGTAGCAGTGTGTCCGAGCCAATGTTGAAAACAGTCAGAATAGCATAGATGGTTGACATGAATGTCTTTAAAAACACATACAGACTACTCACGGATTTACTCATATCTTATTAAAAATGTAAATAAATTACAAAGAATTGATCAAATTGTTTAGTCTTCAAGGACAATTAATAAAAGCAATGAAATGTGTAAAAAGTGAATGCACGTAATACTCGAGCCAGATATTTTAAAAAAATGAAGTCTAATTAGCCAACTAGGCCCGATAACCTTCAGGGAACTACTTATAGTCAGTTATGAACATGAGATATTGACTACAGCCCGTCATCTTCTGCAGTTCAGAACGCGTTCACTCCACTCTGTGTTCAGAAACTCACCCACAATGGACAAATAAAACTGTTTACTTTGAAATCAAAAGCAAGAAATAGAAAGTATCCCTTATCAATTCTCTGCATTTAACCCCACCCATACAGTGGGAGCAGTGGGCTGTTGTGATGGCGCCCGGCGAGCAGTTAGAGGTTGGGTGTCTTGCTCAGGGACACTTTGACATGGGTCCTGTAACAGCTGGGATTCAAACCGCCAACCCTACCGTCACCGGCACAACCTCTCTACTCCATGTGCCATGGTCCCCCCAAAGAGGATCACCAAAGGCCAATCGATACTACGGATTAACAGACTGGTAGCACGGGAAATCTGCCAGCACTGCTAATTCAAGACAACCATGTAGTCTTGTTTGAATAAAGACAAAACTACTAAGTGTTCAATTTATTGCACTAAATTGACAGACATTTG